GAAATTGTAATCACTGATGCACTAATTTGCATGGGAATATTATGCAGCACAAATCATAAATAAATGGCCAGCGCACCGACTGCCAGTGCGAAGATGCATTTTTTGCACAGTCCCCCATAGATTTTTGTCGGTAACGGCACTATTTTTTTCCGGCAGATGCTTCTCACTAAAAGAATTGAGACTGACCGCCGGGAATGGAAAGCATCCTCTTAAAATTTCAGCTTTCTAGCTTTTCAGGTTCTCGAGTTGCTCGAAAAAGCTTTCACGGACCCATATGTAGGAACCACACATACCCGAGGGCTGGATTTAAATTTATTAAGACCTACATGGATGGGGAACATCTCCTTAAAATCTCAGCTTTCTAGCTTTACTGGTCCCCGAGTTAACAGCTTGCCTGCCAAAACTTTGGCAGGGGTTTTGGGGATGTGGGCCCGTATATGCATGTAGATTAAGTTCCCAAAGTTTCAGCGCTGTAGTTTTTGTAGGTCTTGAGATGAAGGTCTTGAGACACGCACACACAACCCCTCGTCAGTGTGCGTTTTCTGCATTGCATGAATGCAAAAAACGCATAATAATCTTTCACAGCGTAACTCAGCCAAATACAGCATTTGTGACTCGGTACATGTCGTTGGGGAAAGCTATTCCCTTGACTGTTTAACTGTTCGATTCTGCTGAACGCCAATGACCTGCACCCCATTTACAAATTGAAGCGAACACGAATTCGAGGTCTACTTGGAACTTCATGTAAAAGTGCTTCATCTGATTGAGAAAGTTAATTTAAGGGAAGCGTATAAGCATTTGCACAGATTCTCCCTTATCTTCAGTTTGCTTTCTTATAAAGCCTCAGTGTAATTGTATAAGTTGCGACCAATTTTATTCACATTATACGCATGGCCAATATGTTGTGATGGCAAGATAGTACAGATTTTTCACGAGACTGGCAACTATAACTGTATTTTGTTTACTTTCTTCCCTTTTACTGATGCTAGCAAAAAACAAGAAGTTAATTTGCCCCCTCATGTGAGAGTACCTTTGCCTTTTGATTGTTATTGTAATTTCAGGTTTTAGCGATTTTTGGATGCCTATGTGGTATTTCGAGTTGCCTCTCAATGCATTACGATGCGTATTTTCCAGTTTATGTTATTGCGGTACTTCTTGGTGCTGCACAAGCTGTTCTGCTCATCGCTTCACTGTCTGCTGTTGCCGAGCTCATAAATCGCGATACGGTGAGTAATGTCATACGTTCTCATTCAGTATCAATGAACAAAGCGAAAGAATTATTAAAAGCAAATTTTCTAGAAAAAATCGCATATCATTTCTTGGCCCATGTATTTTCTCTAGCAAAAGTCATTGGGAATTTCTCCTGTTCGAAAATTCTTTGA